ACTGCAGTTTCGACCTCGCATCGGTCTTATCAACACCCCCAGCGGGAGTCGAACCGTGACAGTACAGAATTGGAGCTTCACACGCTAACCAGTCGGCCACATTGCCACGAGTGCCCTTGGGTCACAGGGCAAATGTGAATTTCAAGGAAGGCCAGGCCTTAATAAGACCGATGCGAGGCCGAAAATGCAGTCCATCCTTGAGGAGAACAACTTTTGGGAAAGCAAGGCTATGTGAAATTAAATGGAAATGTCAGCTCTACTCATATCATTGTGGGAAAATTCTTCTACCAGTACTTCATCACCTTGACGGAATTGGGTGAATACATCTCATATTACTGATTTACTGGTAGTCTCGAAACAATACTCAAATGAGAAACATAGATTGGTGTTGCCAGGGGATAATGCACTGAGTCGAACATCCCCGATTCCACCTTGGCTGGGGATGCTGATAATACGATGTGGTAATTTCAAAACTGCCATCAAGACTGAATGAGAACGTCCTTTAGGAATGCGTAACATAGGGAATTTAAAGCAAGCAATATCCAAAATTATCATAGATTAGAGTCTATCAATCCCAGTAATGCCATAAGACAATGGTGCCGCTTGGTAACAAATTGCCAGATTTAAAAATGCAAAAAGGTAGATGAAATTAGAGAAATTTGGCGTGTAGTGTACCAAAAGTGCGATATATTTAGGCTAAGTTATATGAAAATAATGTTTGAAGGCATATATAATCCTAGTCGGTCTAATAGAGGTTGGTTTGCCATCTTGAATATTATTCTTAGTCGTCATATCGGCAAGTGATCTATCCAGACTTCGTTTTATATCTACGTCCTTAGTCTTGAAATGAATTGAGGAGTGGTGAAATCAAGATGGATAGCATCATAAACCCATTTTTAATTTAGTGACAAATGCATCACAACGTTTATGTGAAAAATGTAAATTCTTAATAGATCCTGGTATCATCTAACCAATTATAAGCACATTTGCATTTCCAGGATCCAATGAATTTGAAACCAAATAAAAACCATCAACATGACGTTTGCACACAAACCAAGTTTAAATCAAATAAATGGGTCAACTGATGTTGGAGTACCTTTCGTTTTATTTAGAGGCAAGTGGAAGTGATTCGTAAGTTGGCCTCACCTGAAGATGTAAGGGGATTGCCCTAAAGCTGTGACTATAGAGTTGCGAGAATAATTCCTCAGTGCACAAACCTGCGACCGCGATGAATCCTTGTCGAGCTTTTATCCTCACAAATCTACAGTTATAACTCCAACGGAATCCCCCGATAGCTTCCAATGAGGCCAACTTACAAAACCCATCCACTCCCTTCTTCAAACGAAATGGAAGGTATTCCAACACTAATATTAGGGGATTCTCCGAAGCCTAGTTTTTATACATAAATGGGTAAACTGCTTGCACAAGCCGGCTAATCTAGTTTGGAATTCCCGCCAAGTTCCTACTTAAACAAAAGGATTATCAGTCTGTCTGAAGATAAGTGAAGATAATCGTGGTAAAAACATGGGATACTCGATTCGGCAATATCAACAATGGAGAAAGGCAAACGTCCAATTGACGAATGAGTGGCAAAAGTATAAGGTTCAGGGAGAAAGTAATAGTGATATAGCAGAAATAATTGAGAAGACAAATCGAGTCAAAAATACCTCGAAAATAATACTAGAAAAGAGAAGTGGAGATATAAATTAAAGGGATGCTAGAAAGTTGAGGAAAGAATTGCTGGTCTGAGAAAGATCGAGAAATTTTAATCTGGCAAACTGAGTCCAAGAAAACCCACCCTCTTCCGAACTTCTTCAGTTGACATCCTAGTCACTGGTAGGCTGGAGAGGCTGAGAAGCATCGATAAAGGCAGGCCGAAGGAAGTGGCTACAAAGTGGCCGGCTAGAGAGATGAAGTAGTCTTTACCACCGATCAGCTTAAGCACTAGAATGGCAGAGAGTTCCATAGAGCCGTTGTTCAACTGGCGCACGGTCTCGTTGTTTACGTACACTTCAAAGGTGATCTGACAAGAGCCGTCTGATGCCAATGTCCAAAGAGAGGAGATCGTTTTATGTTACATTTTGACTTATAAATGCAAGACAAGGCATGTGCTCAACTGCTCAACTATGCATTTAGGAGCAGCATGCAAGTTAGGCATAGAAAGAGGATATTTACAGTTTTTATACAGTTTGGTTTTCATATCTATCAGTTGGCCTGAAGGGATTTCCATCCTGTCGCACCTCGTACTACACTGTATTATGTGTTGATTGGTCCTTAGATCTCTGCAAACTGAACTCGCCCGCCAATAAGATGCGTGGAAATGGCCTCGTTTGCCACACCTAAGTCCATGACATAAATAGAGTAATACACTTAAAAATGGAGGTCTAGGTTCCAAGTCACCATCTGCGCAAACAAGAGTATTCATATGAAGTAGGTTTCGAAATTATCGGCAACTCTCAATAGATGTTCAAGTAATCCTAGGTCGCATAAGGTGATGAAGGAGTGAAAGATGAATTTTTCCACACTGATATGAATAGGGCTGACGTTTCCATCAGATTTCGCTTACGAAAAGGAACTCTCATCAAGGCTGATTGGATTACAGTTTCGACCTCGCCTGGGTCTCATCAGTGCCCTCAACAGGAATCGAACCCGTGTAGTACAACGTATAATCTCGAAATGTTACCACTACGCTACACTGCCACGAGCGCATCTGTGCAACAGGGAAGAGGTAAATTTCAAGGAAGCCAAGGCCTCTCCCATATTACATCTATAATGGGATTCTTGATGAGGCAAATTTTTCCATTATAACCGACTACTTTACTTTTATTCGAAGAAAGTAAGTTGGGAAAGGATGTGTAAATCTTACATGTCAACAAGGGTGGACATGGTCGGAACTCTAACACATGCTAGCAACTCTCCGAATGCCATTTATTCCAGTTAAGCACATCCCTTCAGCAGGTTAAGGATAAGACAAGGCTATCCTGAATCCAGGCTCAGCAATAGAGCGAGGTATTAATCCTTACTCAAATCGTCCAACTTACCTGAAATTGGTCCTTTGAACACATTTTTCAAGCCTTTAAAGAATTCAAAAGAAAATCATCCTTTCCAAATGAGTCAAGTACAGGCTCTTGGAGCGCTTCGTAACAAAGCTATACGCAAAAGGTACTAAAATAATATTTCAAGAGGGACAAATGTGTTTGTAAAAAAGTGTGATGAGACAAAACATTTATTAGCTAATTGCATAGAAAGCCCAAAGAGGCATATGAACCCTAGTTAGTTGATAAAACCCCCAAACTTGCCGCCTGACATGCTTTAGATTTTTCTAACTGACTCACCCTTCTCTAGCTCCCGGGAGGTGGGAGTAACTGTGAGCCATAATGGAAAGACTGCTGCACCCTCGCGAACGAAGCGGAACTCCAGCGACGACTGTCCAGTATTCGTCAAAGTGACGGACTGCCGCTTGATCTCATAAAAGCGGACTTCTCCGAAATCGACCTCTTGACGATCGAGCAGAGCTTGAGGAAGGTTGAGATTATATACCAGATCCTGGCTGCGGATCACGGCCTCATGGGCTCGTCTGAATAGATGCTCATTTACACACCGTACCTGAAACGAGGGATGCCAAGGAGAAAAAAGAGGGAAAGAATTATTTGTTTATAGGTAGATTAACAAGGATATCAGTTGAACTGCTATAAGAGGCTTATTCACCCTATTTTCTTTAAGATGATAAG